TTTGAGGGAAGATGTTAATGAACTGATGGAAAAAAATGATAACAAAGAACCAAAAATGATAAATAACTTAATATTAATTCAAATGGTATTATTTATCATTTTTCATTTTAATAATATTGATCACATGACAAAACAATTTCTGATTTCTGAAACTTTTTCCCAGTTTATTAATATTTTATAAAGTTTGGAAAATTTATTAAAGGACAAATTTAATAAATTTATAGTTTTCTACATGGATTATACTGAATTCTTTTAATAATAATTAATGGCTTTTTTCTTTTTTTCAAAGCTATGAAGTTTTACAGTTATGAGTTAATAACAGGATAAATTATTATTTAATAAAACATATTAGTTTTTTGTAGACAAGATATGCCATTATTCTGTCTTTCTTATTTTATTTTTTATTTTACTAATTCATCGATCATAAAAAATATATAACTGTTAATTAGAAAAAATAACCAGTTAAAAAGTTGGAGAAGCACTAACATATGTGCATAGTAAGTTGAGTAATGTTTTATTTTGTTAATGTGCCATACTGTAAGGACGTGAGGGTCAGGAAATTATACAAAGTTGGTCAGAGAAAGTCAGGGAATTTAAAACAAAAATTCGAGTAGGAACCCTGTATAGAATTTATCATTCACTTCAAAATAATTATTTCTATATGCAAAATACACCAAATCAATCAAAGTTTTTTCTACATTAAATTCTATTAAACTACCTTTTATTATTTTAATTATATCTGACTCACCAAATAACCCATATCCAGTTCATAAGCCAGCAGAAAAATTCTTTCTACGAACGTTTTCGTCTATATGTAATAGACATCCTCAGATATTGACGATATCGAACTAACGGCTAGTCGAATAGAACATTTTTGAAATAAAAGCTGGAACCCTGTTTCTGTGAGTTGAGAGATTTTCTTCTGGCAAAGGTGGAAGGCTCTTATAAATATCTCCCTGATGTGTTGGATTTATCACACTTGATGGTCCACTCGTCCTTCTTTGAATACGAAGGGATAACTTACATACAAACAAGGGGCATGCCGATGGGCAGCCCAATATCAAGAACACTGTGTGAATTAGTGATCAGAAAACAAAAGAATACCGTATTACCCAGATTTCAAGAGGACATAGCATTGTATGTCAGGTACATCGATGACGTACTCATTGTATGGAATAAGGTACCCAACATTGATTTGGTACTTAACTATTTTAACGATAACCCCTATGGCCTGGCATTGAAAGTTGAACAACAGAGTCAGACAACTGTACACTTTTTGGATATTGCCATCAAAATGGAACAAGGTCAGCTTTCCACCTGTGTGTATCGTAAGGACTCATATTCACCTCTATTTATACATAACTGGTCACATGACCCTTACTCTTACAAAGTCTCTGCTTTTCGAGCGTTGGTAAAAAGGGCGCACACACATTGTTCGGAGCAAAATGAAAAGGAGAACGAATTGTCAAGGGTCAAGACCCTTGCAACACAACATGGATACCCGTCCTCTTTGGTCAAGCATCTCGTAAAACAATACATAAATAGGAGAGAGAAAAATATGCCACAAGACGAACAAATGAGGGTTATCACATACAACAAAACACTTACTAATATATATAGAGAGATTGCAAGGACTACTAAAGTACACCTAGCATATCGACGCTCTCCTACGATCTTCTCTCTTATCAGAAATGATAAAAACCGTATAAAAGATTCTAACTCTCCAGGGGTTTATGTGGTTCCTCTTCAAGATCACCGAGTTGACCATGCTTTAACATACATTGCAGCTACCGCAAGAGGTCTCGCCACGAGGATGAAAGAACATGAATACTCTATAAGAAAAAAGCTGACCACAATGGCACTAGTGACATATGCAAATGATGATGATGTTCATGTTGATCTAAAAAACGCTAAATTACTACACAAAGTATCAGATAAGGCACAACTCAAGTAC